GCATCTTTGAAATAAAAGCTTTGAAAGCGTTATTAGAATGATTACTGATAAAAGTCCAGGCACACACTTCAAATAAAGTTGACAATTAAATACTTCAATTCAACTGAATCGTTGAAATCTCAACCAAACAAAGAAATATTACTAAAATTATGAAGTATTTAGGGTTATAACACACGCAAACATACGTTTTTAACACTAGTGTAAAACAGATTAAGAATTCTTCTCTGTATTTTCTTTGGGACTAGGTTAATTAACAGGCAGAGAATATCTAACAATATGCTCATTTCATCATGGTTTTAATTCTGTATCTCTGAAATATTAAAAGATAAGACTACTAACAGTTTAAGTGGCAAACGCATGTTATTTACAAATAAATAAAATAAATAATAACAATATACTAAGAAACCTACATGAGACGTAAAAGAGGCAAATATTCGCTTTTGCGATATAAGTGATTTTTAACAATAATTCAAAAGTCAGCGTACTAAGTTGGTGGAAGTATTAAAAATTAAATGCTTAAAACAACATCTTTTAGAACGAAATCAAATATCATTCTAACCAAGACGCGATGCTTAGCACCAAACACCAAATTGGAAGATTGATGATATGATGGGTCAGCAATGACAACGTGGCAGTAATAAATGCATCCGTAAAGAATTAAGCATAACTTAAGAAAAGAGTCATTATTAATATTATTAGCAGTTTTTTCCCAAAAGAGCTATTAATTTCGTTTTTGCATTTTGCGTTAAAAACTTAAATGCGTTGAATCACTTTCAAGTTGTTGCTACCAAATATTATAGCCCTGTATTATATTTAAGGGAATTAAATAAAAAAGAATGCATAAATCTACGTATGTTTCTCGCACTGTGATAAAAAAAATGGCATCTAGCTCCATCAAATTTTGAATAACGTCATCCTCCAATGGAATATGGGCATCTGGAAGTCTAAATTCGGAATTTGTTTTATTATTTATTTCATATTGTGTAAAACTTTAACGAATTTTTGTTTAACAAACTTAGCGATTTCAAAGCGAGCAATGGCAGCACTGTACGGGAAAAAACATTTCTCCACCACTCGAGCCTGTGTATCTGAAATTTGAAAGATATGCTCTTTTCATATTATTTGTAATATTGCTGTTGAATTGAATTTCATGATTTAAGTGAGAAAAACATGATATTTAATAAATAAAATTGGCACACAAAATATTAAAAAAAAAATCTGAAAAGTTTCAGATTTTAAATTACGTCCAAAGGGGCGTTTTTTTAACGTTTTGTGTGTTACCTTTATTTATTAAATATCATTCTCTTTGCACTTAAGCCATGAAATTCAGTTCAATAGCAATATCGCAAATTAATTTTAAAATGAGACTATCTTTAGAATTTCCGATACACAGTTCCGCGCACTGGTTAGATAAAAAGGTTTTTTTATTCGATCCGTAGAATGTTGCCATTGCTCGCTTTTAAATCATTGAGTTAACTACTAAAAAATTCGTTTTACAAAATATGAAATCAATAGCAAAACAATTCCAAATTTCAAATTTGGTCTCTCTAATGCCCATATTCGTAGGAGGATTACGTCATTCAAAATTCGATGGCTCTATGTACTGTTGTTTTATCACAATGTGAGAAGTATGCATACATTTATAGTGATTTAACGCAAAATCGTAAAACGAAAATAATAGTCCTTCAGGAACAAAGCCCCTTTGGACTTAAAAAAAAAGCACCTTTGAGCGTAATATAAAATCTGAAAATTTTTGTATTTTATTATTTTTATTGTTGTAATTATTATTATTATTATTATTATTATTACTTCGTATGCTACTTATGCTGCAATTTAACTTCTTAATTATGTGTAGAATCAGAACAAAAAAGGATAGCGAAAGTTTCTCTAGATCAATTGTAGAAATATTTATTGCATGCTTATTTAAACGATGGGAACTTTTAAACATATACTTTACTTATGGCTGTCTAACTCTTTTCTTATGCAAATAGAAAGTCATAGTAATGTTACTGTTAATGAAACTATTTCTGCTTTTCGGACATTAAGTCGATGAAATATAGGAAAAATTAAAAGAAATTTCTGTGAGAAATCGTTGTTTTTTGAAACTTAACCAAAAAAATTCATTTGTTTAAAAATTTGCCTGGTAAAGCTTAGTCTGTAATATAAGTTCTGTAAATAGTAAAACAGATTGAATATAAGCTCTGTTATACTGAATATAAATATTCAATATAAGAGCTGAATATTATACAGAATATAACTCTGTTGCATTTAATATATACTCTGCTCTAATATAAGCTATGATATATTGAATATTAGCTCTGCCGTAAAATAAGCTGTGTTAATAAATATAAATTTCAAATACAGGTATAGAAGTATTGATATAGAAGTAGCAAAACCCCAGGAATAAAAAAGATTTAAGAAAGGTGGGTTGTAATTTCAATCTCGAGTATTTTCAAGCCCCACCTATTTTGTAACCTCGAAGATTACGGAAGTCTCCGCCTTCAAAATTCTGCAGGTAATACTTCTGCTTTTCGAGGATTTAGATGATATATTAAATTATAAACTAGTAAAAGTGAGAGAAATTATTTTTCTCTCAGTTTTTACTAGTTTATAATTTACTAGATTTAGGTAAAGTGGGTTGTAATTTCAATCTTGAGTATTTTTAAGCCCCACCTATTTTGTGCGTGTGTATTTAATTATGGCAAAGCACACTAGGGCTATCTGCCTAAGAGGAGGGGTGCCTTCGTGGAGGACTTTCTAAGGGAAACTGGCTCGTATACACGTTACACACGGGAAAAACCACGAAAACGCCCATGCAGCCAGCCCGTTCGCGGGATTCGAGCCTCGGACCGAACTACCACTGTTCAGCAACTTTACCGCTCGGCCGCTGGTGGGCCCCTATTTTGCGATCTCGAAGATTACGGAAGTCTCCGCCTTCAAAATTCTGCAGACCGTACTTCTGCTTTTCGAGGATTTGGATGTTATAGTAAATTATAAACTAGTAAAAACTGAGAGAATATTTTTCTTTCTAATTGTTTCTTATATATCATTATGCACTATTTATCAGTTTGCAAATGTAAGTTGTTGCTATATACTTTGCTTAATTTCTAATATTTTAAATATGAACGCCCATCAAATAAAAAAATTTTAAATGAAAGTGGAACATTCCAATGTGAAACTAAAAAACAACTTTAATATCGAGTTTTATTCAAAAGCTTTCCAAATTAAGGTTGTCATTTGCCTAATATATATAGCTTACTTGAATATCAGTTACGTCGCATTTACTGTTCAATGCTCTAATTTTTCTTTATTAAAACTTCTGCTTTCTAAAATTTCCCCCAAACACTTATTTCATCATTCCTACCCTCTCACAAAAAATATATATCCAACAAATCACTTATTAATTTATCAAATTACTAAAATCAAATATCTTTTAGAGCTTCTTATTTTTCTCTTATGCAGAAAGAGATATATAAATTTTATATTTTAAAATATTATTTGAATAACTAAATAGGGTATTATTGTAATTATTATTATTATGATTGCTTGGTATGCTACAATTTTGTTTATTAATGATGTGTAAAATCAGAAAAAAAAAAAAGGATAGAGAAAGTTTTTCTGGATCAAAAAAGAAATATTTATTGCACCTTGTTCTTTTGGAAAGACTATTTGAAAACAAAATAAAAATGGGACTAGTATAACATGTTCTGTTATACCATTTCCATCTATTAACTTCTTACTATACAAATACTTAAAGACTTAAATGTATGCTTCAAACAAAATAAATATTTCTTGTAAATACAACTCACAATAGCTGATATTTAGATATAAGGCGGTAGTTAAAATTGGAAGCAGGTGTAGCAGGTGTTTAATAAAATGTAGAATAACTTGTATGTTATTCTACATTGTATAATAAATGTAGAAAATTTTATGCTCTCTTAATATATAAAAATAATTCTACTAAAAAGAAAGATACAATTTTGTCTACTACGGATTAATCATTTTTAAATATTCCATGTAACAAGGCAATATTATTTTCTGGTATATTTTTGCTTATTGTAAACATAGGCTAAGTATAGCAGAAGAGTAACGCCATCTTGAGGCCAGTCGATAGTTCTCCGAGGCGATTGCAAAAGCAAAAATAATATTGCAAAAGCAAAAACAAATTCCTGAACAGATGGTGGTAAAGAATAGAACAAAAATCAATAACCGCAGGCGAGATATTTTAGGTATATGAAACACCTTTGCAAAAATATAATTTTTCTAAGGTTATTTCGATTACAGATATATGAAAAATGTAATTTTAACCAGTAATAATGGGCGATGGAAGATTTATCAAATCCATTTTTCTAAAAACAGGTATCATTTTCCTTAATGCTAAATTCCAAGATTGTCATTTTTTGACCGCAATCAGCTCACACAAGAAATACATAGACCCCAACAATTAATATTTAAAATAGGATCTCTTATTACAAAAGTGTTAGATGTTGTATACATTAATATGATTTCTTGTAATTTCAGTCTTAACCAAACACTTTCAGGATTGGGTTATCTTATTGCTAACTGATGGGTTATTTATTGATTCTTAGAATACTCTGAAATGTCAAGGCGGAATTTACTCTAATAAAAGTATACCAGTTTAATCTTCCTGCATTTCTCTTTCGAAGTATTTCCTGCAGGTAGAGGTCGCGTACAACATACTCTAGTGGCAAAATAAACCGGATAACCTTTTAACCCCGTTGTGCTCGAAATAAAGCAAAACATCGTGCTTTCAATAAATGTAAAATGTATGTACCGGACTTTAAAACAGGATTTTGCAATTTCAATAGGATCCCGCTAAAAGAAATATAAATATTTCGGATAAACTACTTTTTATTCGTTTCTCTCATTTTAAAAATTCAGCGAAAGTTTCGTTCCGGTACATTTATTCCAACTTGTTCTTTTATTTATGCTTTATTCTTATCCAGTTTGAATATTGATTTTATTCTTTCATTTTGCAGGAGCCAGATATGAAAGTGTTTTCTTGCCACGCCAAGAACCCCCACGTGACTGGATCCGCTTCAACGACGCATAGACTGCGAGTCACATGTGAGTGCACGTTCAGTGTTCTATATTCTTTTCTTTAGATGACCCAGTGAACGATGAAAAGTGCATTGATGAGAAATAAAAAAGAATAATTCATTAAATAGTGACTTTCAAGAAATACTTCTCACTGTTTTACATTAAACTAGATTGTTTCTATAAAAGAATTTAAGGGTTTTTCCAGTACTATTCCATCACGAGCTGTTTTATAGCTATATTTGTATTTTGCTTCTTTTTATAGATCTCTAGCATTCAAAGAAAACTTACTTCTAACATCTTTGAAAGACAAAAAATGATAAAAGTGTAAATGCATTCTGAAAGTTTCTCGTGAGTTACTGAATTCTTTCTAGTTATTTTTATGAACCGTTTTCGAATTTTGCAGTTAAAAATCCAAAGAGCAAATATCGCGCATCCCTGTGTTTCGAAAGGTAATATTCAATTTTTCCCCTCCCTATTCTTACCTGTCCAAGAAATAAATTTTATTTTTCTAGTTTTTTGTATAGGAAATCTGAAGGAAATTTTTCATGTACTATTCAGAAATTGAACACATACAAAAGACTGAGCCACAGGGACAGAATATCGGATGTTCTCTCGGCCTTTCAACCTACGCTATTTTTTACGATATACTTCATAGTGTTAAAAACAGGTATAAAAGTATAACTAACGTCTAACGAAATGCTCAGACTGCATGTGTCCTGTCCATTTATAACATAAGCAGAAATCAGTTCCTCCTAAGTCCTTTACGAATTCAGTCTTCTCAAGAGTAACAATTCTTCTAACAAGTAAAAAAAAAAAAAACACTTAAACTTTTGAACTCAGTGTAATGCCATAATTAGTTACCTCTTGATATTTACTTGAAGAACGGTATTTCAAAATGAAATTTGATTTTTTAATTCTATGATGAAAAACTACAATTTTTTTTAATTGTATTTTTTAACATTCAATCTCGTTTTAGATTTTTAAAGCAGTAGACTTCTTTTTACTTTGCATTATTTTGTAAAACTATTCATCAGTATAAGGATGACAAAACAAAACAAAAAACTTACTTTTTCAAAAAGTTAATATTTATTTTAAAATTTAAATAAGATTTAAATTGACAAAGTCATTATCTCGTAAAATTTAATTAGTCTATTAAAACGCTTTACATTTAATTTTACTACAATCACGCTTTTTATTTCGGCTTCCTTTTCTATAATAGATATTTTTTTTAAACATTTTGATTTAAATTTAAAATTCTAATATTTTTAAAAATATTGTAATGATTCAATGAACAAATCCAAAAGAATGTTTGTGACTGCATTTATAAAATTTTATGAATTATTGTTATAATTCAAAAATTTAAATACCTGGTTTGTAAATATTATCACTCATCATTTGGCTGATAAGAATATGAAGAAATGAAAGCAATGAAAAACAGAAAACTGAGAAAAGTTCTTTTAAAATGTTAAATTTTTCAGCCCCTTTAGTAGCTGACAGACTCTGAAAAACATTTCTAATAGATATTCTCATTATCATATAAACATGAAATAATTTGTTAACATATAAACAGTATTTTGATCTAAAGTTTCCAAAAGTGATATTTTGTGAAGCATTTTGATGTTTACCACATTGAACAGATGAAATGTGTTCACATATTGTTTAGACCTGCTACAAATATTTGAAATATTAATTAGATTCAAATATTCATTAGATATGAATAATTTTTCGTATATTTTAAAGGCTAATAACTGTTTAATGTTTCATTAAAGGTACCCATTCAGTCATCTTAACACCATCTATAAAGAATTATATTTTCGCTATATTTGACGAAACTGTGAGATTCAGTAAACTCGCATTTCTGTGCTTTCTTATAATTCCTATAAAAGTCAATAAAAACGGTCATTCGCCCATTAACAGGAAAAATATAAATCTATAACATATGGCATTGTGTTTTCATTTCAATCTGAATGTTCTTAGATTTCCGACTTGGAATTATGTTTTTCTAGCTTTATCAATGTTTTTATCAGGATTATCTGAGGATATAACTTGTATAAAATAATTATCGCTCTCTTAACTCATGTTTTCTATAATAAACAATAGAATAATGAGGAATTTAGAAGAAAGTGTTCTACAGTATATAAGTCAAAATCATTTTTTGTTTTAAACGATTGTATTTATTGCTAGGAGGCTCTGTCTAAGATATATAAGAATCGAGCTTAAGGTTATAAGGTATATTCCCCTCTTTCCAGCATGCCTTCACGGGGTAACAGTAGCATATTTAGCCTTTATTCGAGAGGTTCAGGTTTGGGTCCCACCGAGGGCATTGCTCATTTTACACATTTTCTGCTACAAAATAACCCTAATGACTGCACAAAGTTTGCAGTTTACTATATTGTCCCAGCACTGGAACATATTTTCGAAAACTGAAATAAATCTGACAGATATAGCAATATAAGCAGTTAAAAGATTCTTTGGTACTGATCAAACAACAGGCTCTGTAGTTCCATCAAAAAAATGTTTACGATGTATAACTATCCAAGGTCAAAATGAGAACTACTTTACTTGTAAAGAGATACCTTCGAACATACAAAGAAGGGAGATAATGCCAGTAGCATGAAAGGAAAGTATTATAAAAACTGGTTACAGAAAAAGTATCTCCTAACACTGCAATTGCATCAGATAGCCTATCTCATTTACAGCTTCCCGATTTAGATGAAAGAATAATTCAAATTTGCTTTAGGTACACAATACACATTGGGTACTTAATATGTTAAAAATGAAACTTTCGGCCGTAGTTTGCAAAGTTAGAATACAATTGAAATTACAACAAACAGATGTATTATGTTTTAAACAGAGACTAACTTTCTGTTTGCTGCCATATCCCTGTGAATTACACTCATGTCCATAAATTAAGCATAATGCAAAAACAGGCAAAGAAAGAATTAGAAGCAAAACAAATTTGACTTACAGTAAGACCCCGCTTAACGCGGGAGATACGTTCTAGCAAAGTAGAGCGTAATACGAAACAGCGCTAAACGAGGCTATCTTAACATGTAAATAATAGGGTTAGGGGAAGATGGATAGAAAATTGGTTAGGTATTAAATTTAATAATGTTTTTTTAATAAAATAAAAAACCAAACATTTATTTCTTTCTTACAAAAATAAAAACCAATATAAACGAATATACTTAAAAAAAACAAAACAATTCTCAGTCAGTCAGATCATTCAGTCTATTCGTGGTTTCCAATTTTCTGCTTTTTTGTCAAGAACGCATCTAATGAAGTTGCCAAATTCAATGCAGCACTGATTTGAGATTGACGTTCACCAGAATCTAATCTTCTAATCACTGCATTTTTAGTTTCCAGTGACATGCTCTTTCTGGTTGCTTTCTTTTCTTGTTTTCTATTATCACCCATGATAAAAACTAAAGATCATAATTTTGTCACTGTATTAATAGTTATAATATTATATAAAGTTATACTTACAATCAATGTCAACAAATGTTTCAAATTAGAAAAATGCGTCCGTTACAGCACCGCATCCAACAAGAAACACAACTACACTGTTTCGGATATGTTATTTGGAAATTGCGCACAATTTCGCAGAATCCCTGTAGTGTTGCGAGCAATTTCAGGGAATCCCCGGGTTGAAATAAAAGAGCGCTAAACCGAAACAAGCGCTAACGAAACAGCGTTAAGCGGGGTCTTACTGTATTTGTAAAGCTTATTTATTAAACAAAAGGTAAAGAGCAAAAAAAAAGATGCTATATGTTTGATATTATTAAAAAAAATTAGCGATTTTTTCTCCCTGGAGCAAATTACAAAAAACACCTACTTACAAAAAGCAATACTACATGGTTGGTATGATTGTTAATACATTGTATGTCTCCCAGATGATGCAATACAGTCCGTACAACGCCTGGGCATGCTGAATATCAAATTATCGAGCTGATCTTGGGGGAGATTACACCACTCAAAATGCAATGCTCTCCGAAGTTCCGGTAGACATGTATATAGGAGGAGGTTGACGGGCTGCAACTTGTCGGCCAAGCATGTCCCACATTCAAGTCCGGTGAGAATGCTGGCCAGTCCATACGGGTGATATCCTCCGATTGAAGGCATTCGCTTACGATGTTTGCACGGTGAGGACGGGCGTTGTCATCCATAAACTCAAATTGTGCGCCCATGGCGCCCCGAAACAAATGTACATGTTGTTCTAGAATGACATTCCGATAGATTTGGCTTGTCATGGTTCCAATTTGAACATGCAGGTCAGTTCTGGAACCCAGAATAATTCCACCCCAAACGAGCACTCCTGCACTACCGTAACGGTGTCGTTTAATGATGTTTTCTTGGTGGTAACGGGTACCTGGAGCTCTCCATATGAAGGTCCGGCGAGAATCAGACTGCAAGCTAAACCTGGACTCGTCGGAAAACATCACACAAGCCCACTGTTGCGGTGTCCACAATGCATGCTCTCTACTCCAGGCTAACCGCAGGCGACAGTGAGTTGCAGTAAGTGGAACGCATCTGACAGGTCTACGAGCATATAGACCAATTCGCCCTAAGCGTCTGTACACGGTCTGCCTTGAAATTGTCGTACCAGTGGCTGAAGAGAGCTGACGAAACAGGTCTGAGGCTGTGCTCCGCCTGTTTCTTTTGGCAGTAACTGCCAAATACCGGTGCTCTTCGGCGTTGTAACTCTGGGGGCGACCTGTGCTGTAACGTCTACTCACATTACCATCATCTTGGAATCGTTCCCAAAGCCTGGAGATGACACTCTGGGCAATTTCAAGTTCGTCTGATATTTCCAGTTGGGTACGCCCACATTCCAGACGGCCGATAATTCTACCACGTAAAAAAATCATCCAAATGCGTCCTTTGTGTCATAACTATTCGGTTATTGCACTGAAATGCTTATAAAGCTCCTGCGAACAATTTTATTTCTTTGCCTGTGTTCCTTATATATCACTCTCTTACACTCTCGTCATTGTGACGTACCATCTGTGTCATCTGGTTACTTCCTG